CAAATAGACTCATTTAAAAAAAACCGGCCAGGAAGATACACAAGCCGATTTCTGTCCAAGGAGAGGGAACGCTGGCCAGGCTCAATCGTCATGACATAAACATTCGCCGGGTGCTCCTTCTGGTAGCGAACGAAAACGTTCGATGGGAAAGAAGGACACGAGCGAACGAATCGATCACTATGACCACCTCCCTGGCGATCAATCGCCAGATATTGGGGCCCCTGAAAAATTGACCGCACAAAAAAACCTTGATTTGGCTTTGAAAACTAAGAGCAACTCTAGCAGACCCCGCAAAAACTTGACCCGCAAGACACGTTTGCGGTTTCACGAAGATCGCGTTTGCGGGTCAAAAACTAGCGCGGCCGAATAAAAATCGTATCTAAAACTGCATAATTTGAAAAAACACTTTCGCGGGAGAAATTGCGCCTCGTTGACGCGAGTAGTTCATACATACTACATAGATTTTACATGATCAATACACTAAAAACATAGTTCATACTACATACTACGCTAATACTAGTACTAGAGGGAGGTCGGATCTGACAGCGGCGAGGTCGCGGCAAATGGACGACGCCGTGAAGGAGAAGGACGCTCAATCCTCCTCGCCGGAGCTGCACAGGTCGACGTACTTCACCGCCTGCTCCTCACGGATGAGGCGCCACTCCTCGGCCTTCTCCTTGGCGGCGACCGCCTGCCGCCACTGGAGGTCTTCGAGCTCCTCGGCGTGGCGCCGGCGCTCCGCCTCCTCGCGCACGCTCTGCTCGGCGATGGCGGCCACAACGGCGTCGACGTTGGCGACGTAGTCTTCCGGCCCGACGACTCCGCGGCGGCCGAGCGGAGCGGGCTCCTCGGGCTCCTCCTTCATGGGGACGAAGGCGAACTCGTCCGGCTCCTCCTCGTCCTCCGATCACTCTCTCTTCACGTGGAGAAGGCCCGCGCCGGAGGAGGAGGAGCTCCCGGCATACGAAGACCTCGTGGAGGAGAAGGATGCACGCCGGCGGTCGTACTCCTCCGTCTCGCTCCGCTGGAAGCTCGCCGGAGGTGACAGACCGCGGTTGGTCCACTTCCGGGCCCCGTGCTTCCTCGCGCCGTCCGACCGGACGCGCCGCTCGCGCTCCAGGTCCCTTCCGCCGCCGGAGCCGCGTCCGGAGCTCCACATTCGGGCCCATATGGCGGCTGGAGGCGGGGCGGGTGGTCGCCGGCGGCGAGAAATGTGGAGAAGGGGAATCGCGTGGCTCGGCGGCGGCGGGGGATAGGGTTTGGACCCGCAAACGAGCCGCGGAACCATAGATATAGCGGTCGGGGCGTGCGGTTTGCGGGCCGGGCGAGTATGCGGGCTCTGTTTTGGCCGGAAAATTGAGCCGAGCCCGCATACTCGCCGGAATTTTGCAGGTCTGCGTGTTTTGCGGAGTCTGCTAGAGTTGCTCTAACAAACCGGAGAATTCTAGTGTGACCCAAAATCCTAAAAAACCTTGATTATCAAGATTCTTAGCAACCCTCTAAACCCAAAATGTTTCGAACAGGATAAATCCTCAAAAGTCTAATATCGCCGCGCAAAATAGCTATTGATGACATTCATGCAAGATGGGCGTAAGAGTAAAATTTGTAGGCTGCAGACTCATGTCAGAATGCTAATTTGCAACCAGCTCAGATGCTATATGTAATAATCTGCATACGGCATATATACATACCTTGCGGCCTCTAAGAAAATTATGATTGTCGCGAAGATAAAATCATCCCCGGAGTGGAGGTCCTTGGCGTAGCCGCCGAGCAGGACGACGGTGGCCCACGTGAAAGCCAGCGTGCCAAGCGCGTTGCCCACTCTCTCGATCAACACGACTGCACGGACGAAGCGATTCAGCCACTTCTCCGGCGCGGCCACCTTGCCTGGCCCGGAGCCGCCAGCCATCATCTGAACGACGTGCTCTCCTCCGCCACCGCCGTCGGCCATCGATCGCTTTAGCACTTAGGCGCAAAGAAGAAAACCTATTGCACTTGTGTAACTGGCTTCTCTGAATGACAAAAGGCCAGAGCAGCTTCCTCCGAACATAAAGGCCTTCGATTATCTTTGAATATATTACTTGAGCAAAATAGTATGTTGCGAGAGTCGCCGGCCCACCGGATGGGCCAGCAAATTAACGCCCCACCACTCCACTGCAGAAGAAGAAGGAAACAAAACTAGTCCATAATCAATGAGAATCATGATCAGTTCATTCAATCACTTTACTGTTCAGTGCAAAAAAGTCACGTTCACTCCCAGCCACCACATGCTTCACTGCCGGGTAGGCGGAGTACTATCAAAGTTGTTATCATGATGTGACATAATGTTTTGGGCTACGAACGTGTACGTAAACACAGAGTTATCATGATGTGACATTCATACTATAGTACTCCAATTTAGATCAACCCATCCAACAAATGTTATTACAACCTATTAATCTGAATACCTAAAATAATCAAAATTAACAAATAATAAGATAAAACACTTGTTTATGAAAAGATAAATGAATTTAAACACATTATCTTCCAGCTAGTTGTCAATGATGCTCAATAAGACCCTCCTTTAGCTAATCATGGTAGATTTGATCTTCAATCTTCTTGTACATCTTAAGAAATGCTTGAATCAGAGATGTCATGATTTTTGCCAAGACATCCTTATTCTAGAAATGAGCAATATGCTAGACAATTGCAAACCTAGCAAATGTATTTCCTCATTGCTTCTTGTACCTTTGCGAAATGCTTAAATTTTCTGGTCTTGGGATTATAATCGAAAATGCTGACCAAGATGGGTAGATGTTATCAGCTAGATAGTAGCCTTTGTCATATTGATTGTTATTCCCCGTGAAATTGCAAGGTGGAGAAGAGCTATATACTAGCCTTGCAAAAGGATGAGATCTGTGCAACATATTGATGTCATTGTGAGATTCAGGAACCCAAAGTAGAAAGGACAAATCCACAAAATCTCGGAGGCAACCCCTTTCAAAATAATTGTTGGATCATGGCAGCGCCCGGTAAGTTAGTTGTGCCAAGCTGCAAGGCAATTCTTCCACTTCCCATGCATACAATCAACACTCCCTAGCATCCTAGGTCTGCCTATATTGCTACATTCACCGCATAAGCATCGTCTTGTCCTCAACATTGGTACTCGCAGATGATACTCTTCGTAAAACTTCAGCACGGTATCGACGAACACTTTGGTGTGCTTTATGATGGTATCGTCGGGCATTCGAAGATACTCATCCAAGGCATCTGTAGGAGTGCCATATGCAATTATTAGACCAGTGGCATTTCTAACCTCTCATTGACTTCCATGTCGTCGGCAATTCATCGTCACAACTGTTCCATCATTAACATTAGTTTCGCTGGAACATTTAGACAAAAGGTACAACCCGGTAGAAAGCAGTCGTGCATGAGCCTGTCGTGGCCTTAGATTCTATTCCGACAAATTGCCATACAACCTATGACCCTGCACGTCTCGTATTCGTTTTGGTTGTCCCTATTCATCTAGCAACCATCAACACATCCTCACCCTTTTCGACGTCCATAAACCAATGAAGAATCATAAAAAAGCTCTACCATTGGATCTATCTACACAAAATGCAAATGATATGTTATCCACGTGAATCTATGAGCTGCTAGACTAAATCTAGAAGAAAATCTTGCAGAAGTTTACGTCTAGCCAAGTCTCAAACACCATGAGGTCACGCGCCAGAAGGGATGGCGTGGTCAAAAGGCGGGAAGCGGGCGCGGGGTTGTGGTGAAGGTCCTAGAACGGCTCAGTAGAAGCGTCCATGGCCAAGTCATGGCGGTTCGGATGACGAATTAACACGGAAAGAGAGTTGCTTTTATCATTTTTCCCACACCAACTACTACTCCCGTTGAACCGATACTGAGAACAACTCTACCAGATCCACTATCCTCGCCGGTCCGTAAAATTTCGGTGGTTTTACAGTTCCTGCAATTTGTTGGCCCGAACAGGTCTGCTAAAAATCCGCCGGCTTGTAGATTTTTTACGGGCGGCCTACAAATCCGCCGGTCCGCCGCTATATTTAGGGTTCGCGTTCTGGATAAGCTCCGCCTGCTCCGCCGTCTCCTTTCATTAGCCACATGTGTTTCTTCCCCTTTCTCACGGATCCATGATCGGAAGTGCTCGCGGGCGTGGCAGCCGTGGCGGGTTCGCCGCCATGCAAACTCACTCGGCATGACGAGGAGGCCGACAGCTCCGGCCGGTCCGCCGTCGAGCCGTGGCATTCCAAGCAGCCGCGCGAACGCAGCCGCCTCTCCCACAGCAGCGGCCGGAGCGTGTGGGCCGGCTTCAAGGAGCTGCATGAGGGTGAATATGGTTTTTAAATTGCAGTATGAACAAACGATTCTGCAGTACCGATTTATACAGGATTTGCTAGAGTCGCTGCGAGAGTTGTCATATCAGTGCGTCGTCGTCACTGCCTGTATATCCAGCGGGGCACGGCGAGCCACGAGGGTAGGCCCCAGTTGCTGGGATGTTCTCGCATGGCTTGTTCTTTGCCGCTGCCGGCCGAGCGGTGCGGGTGGGCCGGACGAATGCATGTAGTACTGTGTCGTACCTACCGCATTATAATCGTTTAAATCGCAAACTCCCCCATTGACGACCAAATCGCACGGTTCTTATGCAAAATCAGTGTAGCCAGTTGAGCAATTAATCTAACGAACTTACGGAATATTTCGGATCTGGATCACAAGTTGGTCCTATGTACATAATTTATCTTTGTAAAACAGTTTTGCTAAAGCACATATAGATGTGCTCTAAGTATTGCACATCTAAATTCTATGTCATGTTTAATATCAACTCTAAATTTAAATTTATGGGGTCTGCTTCATGGATCGCAATGAATAACAATTCGCTACTGCAGTGAGCGATCTGAGCCTGTGTACAAGTCCCAGTATATTCTACTAGTAGTAGTCCAATATCATCAAAATACATGTTCAGGTGACACTGCTGATACCTTGTAGCGTGTAGCCACTCATAGACATCTTTTCGCTCTGGCCAGGAGAGCAGAGAGAGGTATGCTGTGCTCCATGAGTCCTGCATCACCCCAGAAGAGTCTGTAATTTTCAGCCTTTGAAGGTGTGCATTCTACCATTACCAGTGCTTCCATCATCCAGCATCTGTTGAAATAGTTTGCGTAGCTAGGCTTGTTCTCCATCATGTATACTGCATGTTGAACTACTGCCCTCCTGATTCCAGGACAATGAGCAGTGGGTACCATATTTGAGTTAAGCACATCGACAAGCCTCTTTATAAATCTTTCCTTAATCTCACCACAATCTAGTTCTCGGGCAAAGTCTTCCGGAACAACATTACATATTTGTGAACTAAGGCCAAGAAGGATCTCTAGCTCTGCTCCTTCTGCATCCATTATTCCTTCCAACACCTGTAGTAAAAAATAGCTAGTCATGTACGCTATGATTAACACAAACTAAGAGCCATATTTCCCTTCGCTCCTTCTGCCCACGCCCAACTCCCATCTAGGATTTCCTTGCCTCTCGCCGGCGCCGCCGGTCCGCCTTATCTTCTATGGTCCTCGGATCATGGAGGCACCGTGGATCCCGGCCCTTGCCGGCGGGAGGGCTCCGTTTTTAGATGTTTTTCTGAGTTTTGTTAGGGTTTGTGCCATGCTCAAGAAGATGAGGCGGTGGCGGCTTCTTGAAGATGGAATAAGGTCCTCCCCGCCTAGCCCCCGTCCTGGTGATGTTTCAAGCATCGTCGGAAGGCGTGTGGAGGTTTGTCTTCGGCGGATCTCATGGGATCCGGTCGGCGTTTGTCTTCGGTGGATCCGACTGGATCCGGTCTTCGCTCGTCTACGTCTGTGTGTCTGCAGGTTGGATCCTTCCGGTCTATGCTTCTCTTCATCGGCGGCGGTTGCTGTTCTGGTGCGCTGGTCCCATGGGGCCTTAGCACGACGACTTCCCGACTGTCTACTACAACAATGTTTGCCCGGCTCCGACGAGGGAGGGGCGATGACGGCGGCGCGCCTTCGGCTCGCTCCAGAGATTGTAGTCGTCGCTAGGTGGTCTACAGACCTGGATGTAATTTTTACTTCTAGTGTTTTTTGTACTACCTTGACAGTTGATGAATAGATCGGAAGTTTTCGCGCAAAAAAAAATGTACGCTATGATTATTATAAAAATAATCTGACAAAACTTTGGTTAAATTTGCAAAGTTGCATCTATTTAGTTAAGTGCTAATCCATGATATTCCTGTCTTTTTATTTAGTTGTTTTAGTCAACAATAGCTTACTCAGTTGCATCTCTTTTTTTTTCCCGCAAAAAAAATGCCCATGAATACTAAGAATACACATGTGAGAAAAAAGAGATGTAGTTTTCTTTAGTAATGATGTAAGGCACGATTGCAAGAACATGTGTGCAGCATGTAAGGAAAGATTGCAAAAAAAAACATGTCTACAATATCCACCTAATACTGCACTTGTAACTTAAATTTGCAGGGCTCACCTCTCGCAGGATGTAAGAGATATTCTTCAGGTCTGAGTTGCTCAGAACAGGCCGAGCTTGCACGCACATATCTCGCAACAGGCTTGCTGCTGCGTACCTGTACTGGCTCTCACTATGGATCATAATTGTGAGTTCTCTGATGAATACATGCCCTGGCTCCGCTAACATAATAACCAAACAATTGTTGGAACTCTCCATTGCCAGCACTGCCAATGCTTGCCCAGCGATCATTGGAAGCAAGTGCCCTGTATCCCCACTCGATGGTGCATCTTGTCTGAGTAAGGCATACATCAATCTGCTAATGATCAATCGGATGTGCCCAATCTCTGCGCTTGTATTTCCACTCATGGCAAGATTTCTAATGATCTCTGCTGTGACCTCCCTATCTTCACGGCTGCTCTTGCTTTCATCCAAAATTTCAGCAATGTTACTCAACAGGAAAGGATGTTCTGAAATCTTCTGTCGCAGAGCTACACCAAACCTCCCTTTAGTGCTTGTAAGTCTTCTCAGCACCATCAATGATGAACCTTTTAGCATTGTTTGGTCTGTCTCACTGATATTTATCATTTTGGTTCTGCAGCTTGCAAACTCTATGATCTTTGAGATGAGGCATGTTGCTCCGTTGATTTCCATCCAGTTCTCAAGATCAAAGGTAGCAAGCCTCTCAATAATTAACATGCCTAGTGCAGGGAGGAGATCATGGTTCATCGAGGGATCATCCTCTGGAACAGACCTGCATTCTGTAATGTGCTTATGATAGCTCTGCTCATCCATCCTAGGTGGCTCCTCTGCCGGTATCAAGCAGTATATTACCATCTGTTTCCACCATTTAAGCCTCACGGAGTTCTGTCTGCCCTTGCTAACTTGCTCAACTAGGGCATCTTGTTTGGCCACTTGGCTATTAGTGTCTAGCAGAGGATCCTTTATTTCTGTTTCGTGGGTAGTGTCTAGAAGTGAAGCTATGAGCTGCATCGCCCCAGGTATAGAGGCAATTCGGATACTCTTAGCAAGCTCAGCCATGACCTTTGCGGCAAACGATCTAATATCTTTGTTCCCTCTACTAGTCCAACCCAACATATTAAGCACTGTGGTCACTGTCTTTGTGGAAGTGGTGAGTTTTGAGATGGCTTTAATCTTCAATGGCTCCTTTTTCAAAAAGCCGTGGATCATCTGAACCCCGTAGAATTGCATCTTTGGTGAGTTTGATTCTATACAATCGATTGAAAATGTGATGAGATTGGTTTTCTTTGGAGCAAGCACAACCCCTCTCATGCATTTTTCGAATGCATATGCATAGTACAAATCGACATATTCCACTCCTAGGGGACCTCTAAATCCAGCAAGATGGATGAGCGGTCGCCGGAGGATGAATGAAAAGACCTCAAGGATGCAGGCAACAATGTAGAGTATTCCTTGGCCAACCACCATGGCATACAATATATTGAGAGATGGCACAAAGTTTGTCTTATCTCCGAGTGTTCTCCTGTCAACACGTTCATCATCACCATAGTAACACTGTGGTATAAGGCGCGACAGTGCCAACCCAATGCGCAATACTGCTGCTGGAACTTGGAGGTTGCCAAATGAAACTATCAATAGAGCATATGCTTGGAATGCGATGATCATGTACCGAACTGAGCCATGAAAAGTTGACACCAACATCACTATGACAGCAAACATGCACAAATTTATGATAACTCGGCGCCAACATGCCAGTTTGCGGCCAAGAGCAGAATCTACTAGTTTGACTACACCTGCGAACCGAAGTTTGCTGATTGTAAGTAGGAGCACCACCATAAATAGTACTAGGTATGCTGCCCATCTGGACATTGGGTTTCTGGTAATAAACCTGTGAATTGAGAAATCCTTGTACCTAAAACCATAGCCATATGGTACAGAGGGACCTAACAATATAATTGCTACCATGGGGCTCCATAATGATATTGCACAGGATAGTTCATTGGATATGAGTAGTTTTGCAGCTCCTGGAGTCAGAAACCGGCCAATTGCAAGAATTACCAGAAGAACAAATGGCATTGGTGGTATCCAATGTCCATACAAGATCACTACGCACACCATAACCTCCATAAGACATACGGTGAAGATCAGCCCATTCCAGCCAAGAGACTTGAAAGCACCTCTCGTGCGGAAGAACAACTGGTAATCTGGCCTATTGTTTCCATGGCTGAACATCCTGAGGTATGCATTATTGTGTGATTAAGCAAAATAGACATCACACGATCGACAAAACAAAGTGGATCGACATGCATATATCTAGACCACTATGGCAGTTGTAAAATAACCAATTCCTCTTGACAAGATTTAGTACAACGCTTCTGTGTTTTTCTTTCTAAAAGGAAGGAAAATCCTCGGCCTCTACATCCTTGAATGCATACAGCCAGTTTGGATTCTGCAAAATCTTTTTTCAGATGCAGATCGGTGATCAGTGGTAGTACTGTTTCTCTATCGCATTCTTTACTTCAAAATTGATGACTCTTATTGTCCAATTGTCGCCACCATATTGCATCACTTTAAAATAGTAGCCAGCAGCTTGATTTTTTAACAGAAATCATCATCTTGAACATATTATGTATAACATCCACAAAACTATATCACTAAGAGGTACTACTTTGATTCAAAATACTCCCTCCGTTCCTAAATATAAGTCTTTGGAGAGATTCCACTATGTACCACATACGGAGCAAAATGAGTGAATCTATACTCTAAAATGCATCTACATACATCCGTATGTGGTCCATAGTGAAATCTCTACAAAGACTTATATTACGGAGGGAGTATGTTCTAATTTGTACAATGTTTGTTTCTAGTATACTGGGCTTTTTTCTTCCATTCTTTTTATTTTCTTTCTTGGCTGTGTATATCCAGGATGCCTTTGGACGTCTTGTTAGTACAGAGGCCGGGTGTAATTGATATCTTCTCGATATTTATATATTCCCTTTGTCGGAAAAAAATATGTCGTTGGTTCAGCGTGCGAAGTTGGAATTTGACCGACAAACATCAAATGGTTATTATGAGTTTAATTTTACAAAAGTGATGGGAGTAGGAAATATTCCCAGCTAGTATTTGCCTCCTTTGGTTCATAAGATAGAAATATCATGGGAATAGGAAAATCATAGAAAGTGATGAGATAACATTTATAAACTTTTTCATTGGGTCTAGGCTAATGTTTTTTCTTTGAAATGTAAATGATTGGTTCATATCCTACATAGGAATAAAATCCCATTCCTATAAACCAAAAGGCTTCAAAGAAATTTTTTCTGTAAAATTTATGTCCTTCAGAATTCCCACAAAATTCGTGTAAATCAAGGATGCGTTCATCTCCTTTCCTCTAGAGAAAAAAAAGGAGCTCCACTGTATTCTTGAAACTGTGTACGTCGATTTTGTCGACACAAACATGCACATCGATCGATGTGCTATGGAAATGAAAGATGTGTATAGTCGCATACCTCGCGGCCTCCAGGAAAACTATGGTCGTCACCATCCAAAAATCGTCACCGGGACGGAGCACCGTCGGGTAGCCGCCGAGCAGGACGACGGTGGCCCAGGTAAATGTCAGCGTACCCAGAGCGTTGCCCATCCTCTCTATCATGGCGACGAAGTGCACGAAGCGGTTCAGCCGCTTCTCCGGCATGGCCTTGGCCTTGCCGGCGGGAGGAGCCGCCGGCATCTGCACGCGGTGCTCAGCGACGTTGTCCATCGCTTTGAGTGACCCCTCAGCGCACCGTCGTATAGGGCCGGGGCAGCGTACTGGTCACAACGTACGTCCACTGCAAGCCACAGCTTGTAAAGCTGTTTGCCAAGGAAGACATGTAAACATCGCACAAGCTTGTCCGCACTCTCAAGTCATATTCTGGCATTTAAAGTAGGCAAAAAATCTCCGAGAAATATCAGCCATAGTGCGCAACAAAATTCCAAGTAATATCCACTACTGAAAAAAAAAAATCTTTACTACAGTTTGTTGGTCTCACTTTCATCACTTTCACCTCTCCCATCAATACGTGCCCCCTCCTACCGTTTTCAATGGAAGGACCCCACCTCCCCGCGATTGAGGCTATGAGAAGGACGGTCGTCTTTCCATGAAAGTGGGCAATATGTGCTGTCAAGTGTGAGAAGGACGGTTGTCTGAAAAATAATAATACATGGTCGTGTGCATCCATAGTTGGGAAGGTGAGGGATTATCCTTTTTTTCAAAAGGCGACCGGTTTTCAAGTTTCAAGTGATGCTTGCTGGTCTAATGACAATGTGCTGTGTAGGGCATCTCCAACGCCGACCATCGTACGACTGTCGGAAATATACCCTATATGCAATAATATTGTATTATTATATTTCCATATTCATAATTAAGAGTTTATATATATTCTATGCTATAACTTTTATGATTCTGGAATATACAATTCAGTCATATGCACATTTGAAATGATAAACGGTAAAATAAGATTCCTAGTCTCGCCTCTAAGACTAGCTCAAATATTATTTGTGATCATGTTTTCTGGATCTTACGATATGGTTAAGTGTAACAATTAACCTAAAACAGCTTCAAGAATATGACGTTAAAAAAATGATCATATTGAATCAACCCAAACTTGTTTGTTATACTTTGAGATACAATCGTCACAAGTCAACCGCATAACACGGAGTGTTAACGTGTGAGTTAGTTCCTTAGACCATGAGAGTATCGTAGTCATCTCTTACCGTATGATGAACTTTGGGGTTGCTCAAACATCATCTATAACACAGTTATCATAACGACAACTTGTAAGTGTCGGTGTCAAAACCGGCGGATCTCGGGTAGGGGGTCCCGAACTATGCATCTAAGGCTAATGGTAACAGGAGGCGGGGGACACGATGCTTACCCAGGTTCGGGCCCTCTTTATGGAGGTAATACCCTACTTCCTGCTTGATTGATCTTGATGATATGAATATTACAAGAGTTGATCTACCACGAGATCGTAGAGGCTAAACCCTAGAAGCTAGCCTATGATTATCATTGTTCTTGTCCTACGGACTAAACCCTCCAGTTTATATAGACACCAGAGGGGGCTAGGGTTACACAGAGTCGGTTACAGAGAACGGAATCTACATACCTGAATTGCCAAGCTTGCCTTCCACGCAAATGAGAGTCCCACCCGGACACGGGACGAAGCCTTCAATCTTGTATTTTCATAGTCCAACAGTCCGGCATAAGCATATAGTCCGGCTGTCCGAGGACCCGCTAATCCATGACTTCCTCGGTAGCCCCTGAACCAGGCTTCAATGACGATGAGTCCGGCGCGTAGATTGTCTTCGGCATTGCAAGGCGGGTTCCTTCTCTGAATACTCCAAAGTAGATTTTGAACACAAGAATCGTGTCCGGCTCTGCAAAACAAATTCCACATACCACCATAGAGAGTACAATTTTCCACGAGTCTAATCTGCTGACAACTTTTCCATAGCGTGACATCACGCCGCGGCCCAGTCATTATTCGAACCGTTTTCTCAACCTGCTACTTGCGAGGGGGTTTTATTGGAACGTCTTGTCGAAGCAGAGATCGTGTCCCCTTATCACGGGATTCTCATCAATACGGGTGTGGGTAACCCAACCGCGCCATTATCACGGCGCTTGGGGAATAGGAGAGTTTCTAGGGCAAGTGGGGAGGCGCATGATTTCTGCTACCTTTATAAAGAGACAAGGATTCCCCTTTTTCACCCACACCTTCTTCTTCTTCCGCCTATTCTCTCTCGCTCGAGCTCCAGCACCCAAGCATCCGCCTTCTCCGCCCACAAAGGCATTCCGAAAATGTACGGATCTGGAGCCGGAGGCAAGTGGATGCCCTCGACCGTCCAGGAGAAGGATATTAAGAAACTTCGGGAGGCCGAGTATCTGGCCAAGAAGATCGGCCACCGCCTTTTGACGGCAGGACAGATTGTCCCTACTCCGGAACCCCACGAGAGGGTTGTATTCCTCCCTCACTTTGTCCGCGGGCTAGGGTTTCCCCTCCACCCATTCATTCGCGGCCTTATGTATTACTATGGGATCAATTTTCATGATCTATCCCCCAATTCCTTCCTCAACATCTCGACATTCATCATCGTGTATGAGGCCTTTCTCCGCATCTCTCCACACTTCGGATTATGGCTGAAGATTTTCAATGTGAAGCCCAAGGTGGTGAGCGGCGAGCACGCCGAGTGCGCAGGAGCCATGGTGAGCAAGATGCCCAACGTCACATGGCCATCAGGTACCTTCAATGATTCCGTCAAAGGGTGGCAACAACAGTGGTTCTATGTCACTGAGCCATGCGGCACAAAATGGGCCGCAACTCCCGAATTCCGATCCGGAGCTCCATTGCGGCTTACGTCCTGGCCCAAGAAGGGCCTGAACTGGTCTTCGCCAGATGAGTTGGCGGTGCTCCAGGCGCGTATCAAGGGTATGGAGGACAAGAATATCAAACTTGTCAACGTAGTCCAGGTGATGTTATTTCGTTGAATTCTCCCTTGTCAACACAGGGCTTGCAATTTATGGGAATTTGACCCGGCCAAGCACCAGACCTACTAGGGTTCTTCGACTCATCGCACAAAGACATCTGGAAGGTGCTCTTTAAGTCCGGCAAATCATGGCCGGATTCAGCCTAGGACCGCGGGTACCAACTGTCCCGACCCGCGAGTTCGGTAAGTCTTCGTATGTTGGCAAGTCATATGCTTTATCTACATAATCCAAGGGAAACGCTTAATGTATTTTCCAACAACTCTCCCAGGGCTGGACGAAGAAGGTAGGGCGGATCTACTGCCCGGTGATACGTCTCCAACATATCTATAATTTTTTATTGTTCCATGCTATTATATTACCCGTTTTGGATGTTTATGGGCTTTACTTTACACTTTTATATCATTTTTGGGACTAACCTACTAACCGGAGGCCCAGCCCGAATTGCTGTTTTTTTTGCCTATTTCAGTGTTTCGAAGAAAAAGAATATCAAATGGAGTCCAAATGGAATGAAACCTTCGGGAGCGATATTTTTGGAACAAATGTGATCCAGGGGACTTGGAGTGGACATCAAGCAACAGAGGAGGCGGCCACGAGGGTGCCCGGTGCGCCCCCCACCCTCATGGGCCCCTCGAGCGTCCACCGACCTACATCTTCCTCCTATATATACCCACGTACCCTGAAACCATCAAGGAGCACCACGAAAAACTATTTCGACCGTCGCAACCTTCTTTATCCGCGAGATCCCATCTTGGAGCCTTCATCGACGCTCCGTCGGAGGGGGAATCGACCACAGAGGGCATCTACATCATCTCCAAGGCCCTTCCGATGAGTTGTGAGTAGTTTACCACAGACCTTTGGGTCCATAGTTATTAGCTAGATGGCTTCTTCTCTCTCTTTGAATCTCAATACAAAGTTCTCCTCGATCTTCTTGGAGATCTATTCGATGTAACTCTTTTTGCGGTGTGTTTGTCGAGACCCGATGAATTGTGGGTTTATGATCAGGTTTATCTATGAGAAATATTTGAATCTCCTCTGAATTCTTTTATGTGTGATTAAGTTATCTTTGCAAGTCTCTTCGAATTATCAGTTTGGTTTGGCCTACTAGATTGATCTTTCTTGCAATGGGAGAAGTGCTTAGCTTTGGGTTCAATCTTGCGGTGTCCTTTCCCAGTGACAGCAGGGGCAGCAAGGCACGTATTGTATTGTTGCCATCGAGGATAAAAAGATGGGGTTTATATCATATTGCATGAGTTTATCCCTCTACATCATGTCATTTTTCTTAATGCGTTACTCTGTACTTTATGAACTTAATACTTTAGATGCATGCTGGATAGAGGTCGATGTGTGGAGTAATAGTAGTAGATGCAGGCAGGAGTCGGTCTACTTGTCACGGACATGATGCCTATATACATGATCATGCCTAGATAATCTCATAACTATGTGCTTTTCTATCAATTGCTCGGCAGTAATTTGTTCACCCACCGTAATACTTATGCTATCTTGAGAGAAGCCACTAGTGAAACCTATGGCCCCCGGGTCTATCTTTTATTATATAAGCTTTCCATCTACTTTTATTTGCATCTTTACTTTTCCAATCTATATCATAAAAATACCAAAAAATATTTATCTTATCATATTATCTCTATCAGATCTCACTTTTGCAAGTGGTCGTGAAGGGATTGAGGCAATAATAAAGTTATTATTTATTTCCTTATTTCATGATAAATGTTTATTATTCATGCTATAATTGTATTAACTGGAAACATAATACATGTGTGAATACATAGACAAACATAGTGTCACTAGTATGCCTCTACTTGACTAGCTCGTGAATCAAAGATGGTTAAGTTTCCTAGCCATAGACATGAGTTGTCATTTGATTAACGGGATCACATCATTAGGAGAATGATGTGATTGACATGACCCATTCCGTTAGCATAGCACTTGATCGTTTAGTATATTGCTATTGCTTTCTTCATGACTTATACATGTTCCTGTAACTATGAGAATTATGCAACTCCCGTTTACCGGAGGAACACTTTGGGTACTACCAAACGTCACAACGTAACTGGATGATTATAAAGGAGTACTATAGGTGTCTCCGAAGGTACATGTTGAGTTGGCGTATTTTGAGATTAGGTTTTGTCACTCCGATTGTCGGAGAGGTATCCCTGGGCCCTCTCGGTAATACTCATCACTTAAGGCTTGCAAGCATTATAACTAATAAGTTAGTT